CTGATGATGAACGGAGTGAGCGCGTGGGTATTTAAGTCTGTAGTAATTCTGTGATATATGATGGGATGAGGTTGTGCAGAGATTTGAATGTCATTAACAAGACTTTAAAGTTGATTCGTTGTGATATGGGGAGCCAGTGCAGTTGAATCAGCAGGGGTGTGACATGATCAATAGATTTGGTACGGGTAATGATGCGTGCAGCTGAGTTTTGGAGACGGTGGAGTAATTTATTGGGGATTCCTTGCAGGATCGCATTGCAATAGTCGATCCGAGAGGTCACCAGAGTGTTGACAAGAACTTCAGTGGAGTGTTGCGAAAGTGAGGGATGCAGTCTGGAGATGTTTCTGAGGTGATAATAAGCCGTCCGACAGACATTATTGATGTGGTTGGAAAATGAAAGGGTACTGTCCAAAATAACTCCAAGGCTCTTTACCTGTTTAGAGACTGGTATGACATCCTCCCCAATGGAAACTGATGAAAGATTGGATTTTAAAAGTGTTTTGCGATGCACGCTGTTTCCAGTGATTTCTTTCTGATTAGTTTTCTGATAAAACTTCCATTTGTTGGTGAAATGATGGGTTAGTGTGACGTTGTTCCAGAGAGGCGTGTTGCAGGCGTGTTTTAGTGACGCGCTGTGGAGCTTCTGGCCCGACAGTGGAAACGCAGGCCAGGTGCTACTGGCCCGAGGCTATTAGCCCGGCACGGCCCGTTTAAAGCCCTAGCCTAGCACTGGCCCGACAGTGGAAACGCGGCTAATGCTAATTTCCACTGTTAGCAAATGGTACCATGTAAATCAACTTCTGCCCCCAGTAAGTCTGGGGGGGGGGGGGGGGGGGGATTTCCACTGTGAAAACAGGTTTACATATGAAATGAGGTCTGGCTATTTAATGGAAGGCAGCAAGGGATCGTGGCCTTTTCTGTATCTCAGATCGGCCCGTGGAGGCTGAGTCGCCGAGACTCAGCATTCATGTATTTCATGTCGGGTAAAAGATTTTCCTCTTTGTTCTAGAACATTTGATGATTGGCATTGATTATCTTTCAATTGATTATGGAATTGTTATAATACATTTACCTGACATAATAAATTGTTATATTTGATTATTCTAACAGACTTTGACTTTATTTTCATTGGAGTTAAAAGGAATAGTCAAACAGTAACGTATACTTAATGATGCACAGATATCATTGCAAAACACTTTCATTTTATGGAGTCAGATGAAACGAGTTAATACATAAGATAATGTATTGCATTTAATTAAAAATCCCTTTGCCATTGGAAGAGACGGAACGCGCGTTGAGACCTTCACCTCTAATCGAGGACCGCAGTTGGCTCGAATTAGACGGACTTACAAGGGTGTTTAGGGGAAGTGTGGCAGTGGGCTTGGTAGATACATAAAGCTGTGTGTCATCTGCATATGAGTGAAAGTGAATGCCACGATGTCTGAAAATATTGCCTAATGGAAGAAGATAGATGATAAATAAAAGAAGGGTCCGAGCTCTTCTCGTCCAGTTCGCGGAGGAGATCGGCCTGGAGAATCTGTAGAACCGCCATGGAGTGCAGGGCTGAAACGGCCTGTCCGGCGGCGGCGAAAGCGCGGCCGACAAGGGCTGAAGTGATCCTGCAGGCCTTAGAGGGGAGGGCAGCCTTTGAACGCCATCCAGAGGGCGGGCAAAGGTGCGCTGCAACTGCTTCTTCCACCGGGGGAATAGAGTTATACCCTTTCTCGACGGCGCCGTCAACCTGAGAGAGCGTCGAGGAGGCGTGCGAGCGGACTCTCGCGGAGAAAGGGGCGTTCCACGACTTGGCGAGTTCGGCATGGAGCTCCGGTAGGAAGGCGCAGTCCTGGATGCGGGCGCTTGGCGGCGGTGATGGAGAAAGTATCCGTCGAGCCTGTTCGGTGTGGGCTCCTCAGTCGCTGACCACTCAAGGCCGAGTTGATCGACAGCCTTGGTGAGGAGGCACAGAAGCTCCGCATCAACGCCAGCCCGAGTACGGCCGGCCTCCTGGACTGACGAGTGCGAACTGGACCATTCCTCGCTGTCAGATGCCAGAAGAGAGCAGCTGTCAGCGGCGGCGTCCATGTTCAGATCATCCGCCTCGTCCTCTGAAGCGGCGGCGGCGTGGGCGGGAACCGGCGGCTGCGCGTCAGAGAGGAGGGGCGGGGAAGACGAGAGAGAAGCTCGAGGGAAAGGTTCCGGCGGGCTTCTGGGTGCCAAGTCGGTCTCCGGGGGTCTCTGGGAGCGGCGCTTCTTCCTGCTCGGCCCAGCAGAGACAGGCGGAGCGACATCTTTAAAGAGCTCAAGTCGAGCCCGCAGGGTCGTCATTGACAGCTCTTCGCACTCAGGGCAGCCGCCCAAAGAGAGTGCGCTGGCGGCGTGCTCGCGGCCCAGGGAGAGAGCGCAGATGAGATGGCGGTCTCCAGCGATGAGCGGGGCGCGGCACGAGCCGCAGGTGGAGCGAGGCATTTTGATAAACACGCCTCGCGCTCTATTAGATATAAGAGTGTGTGTCGCGCCGGCGAACACACACAGAGAGAAGGCTTAAAAGGATACTGTCGCCGGATAGTGTAGCAGGCACGGGTCGCTGAAGGTGGCGAAGACGGCTGGCTTCTTCAGTTACTTCCTGAGCTTGCTGGTCGCTTGATTCGACGGCGGCGGCCTCTCAAGATCAGCGATGCGGAGAGCTTCGCTGAAGAGATGAAAATCAGAGTTCAGCGGCTGCTGCATTTGCCGCAGGACAGCCAATGAGCACACTTACTCAGTCTGCTATGGTCTGCTGTCTGCTGCACTGCGTTGACAATAAATACAAAATTAAGGATAATTTTTGGCTTCAGATCTCGAGAAAAGATGACTTTACCCGTAGCGTAAGCAACTTACGCAATACGAGAGAACCGAGAACCTGTGTTACCAGTGTGTTGCCAGATATTCCCAAGCAAAATAAGCGAAAATTTGCAAAAATGTCATTGATCAGTATTAAAAAAAAATACATTACATAAAACATTGATGAAGCAAGGACAAAACTGCCACTTATAAATAATAGATTTTCAATATTTGTTTAATATATTTAATTTACTGTGTGATTTATTAATGCAATATATTAATAAATGTAGGCCTAATTGTTTTGGTTGATTAGGCCTAGTAGTTAATTAAAAATATTTTACATATATTGTACCTGTCAAAAGAATGAAAACGTTACCATTTTTTTTAATGTTTTTGAAAAAAGTCTCTTATGCTCACCAAGGCTACAATTTTTTAAAATAAAAAATACAGTAATAACGTAATATTGCAAAATATTATTACAAATTAAACATTTCTATTTGAATCTATTTTAAAATGTAATTTAATCCTGTGATGGCAAAGCTTTGATTTGATTTGATTTATTAGACAAAAAAATTGCCTATAGTGAAATACCAATTTGTCAATTGATAACACAATAAAGTTAAAAACTTTCCATTGAGGTCCTAGTTTTAAAATGAAATAATTTAATATCCACAAGACTTTACCTAGTATTATAATAATGTTTCTCACTTACCCTAGAGACATATTAAAATATGTAGCTCTTTTATTGATTATTGTGTACCATTTTTAGTTTTACTCTGCTTTTTATAACCAATTGAGATGTCTAAAATGGGATACATCAACGTAAAACAAATAAAACCTAAAACCTTCCGTATCAATTTATTTTGAGATTTTTGTAAGTTATCCATATACATGGGACAAATCAGACATCCAATAAAATGACATTGCACTAAACAAGATGCTGGTACTTTTAGATTTTAAGAAAAGTAACATATATCAATACATTTTATCCTAGCATTAAGTTTTCATAGCCATACTTGCACCACTAAAATCATTGTCATGGACACATCTGAGATCCTTAACAATATAGTTCTGTTTGATATTACACAATCCCCTACCTTGATAGACATGTTAAATACCTTGTTCAATTTACTTTTACACCCAAATAAGATATTTATATTCAGCATCATTACTCCAGCATAATTTTCAGCATCATTACTGCAGTCTTCAGTGTCACATTATCCTTCAGAAATCATTATAATATGCAGATTTGATGCTCAAGAAACATATCTTATTATTATTATTATCAATGTTTGTTGAAAACATTTGTGCTGCTTAACATTTTTTTGTGGAAATACTGATACCTTTTTCAGGATTCTGATGAATAAAGTTCAATGAGCAGAATTTATTTGCATTTATTAAATGTATTTATTAAATTTATTAAAGCATTTATTAAATAGAAATCTTTTGTAACATTATACATATATTCACTGTCACTTTTGATCAATTTAAAGCATCCTTGATCATGATAGGCTATTAATTTATCTCTTTTTTTATTTTTTACCACAAATGTTTGAATGGTAGGCTATCCCTGTTTCCACAAAAATGTTAAGCAGGAAAAACTGTTTTCAACATTGATAATAATATAAGAAATGTTTCTTGAGCACCAAATTACAACTCAAGTGACACTGAAGACTGGAGTAATGATGCTGAAAATTCAGCGTTGCCATCATAGAAATACGTTTTTCAAAATGATTCTCCAAATGTATTAAAATGATTTTAAATTGTAATGATATTTCACAATATTACAGTTTTTACTGTATTTTTGATTAAATAATGTAGCGAGCATATGAGACTGCTATCAAAAACATTTAAAAATTGGTATTGTTTCCAAACTTTTGACAGGCATCCTAATCTACATTATGCCTACATTTATCAAACCAATAAATAAATAAAAAAATTAATAAAAAATCTCTTTATTTACACGCACACCTAAAAAAAGGGCACATTACGCATCAATAGCTGTACGGAGGTGGCTGGAAAAGCCAAAAGAACGGATCAAAGAAGAAACAAACAACTGGGATGCCAATATTGTAGTGCGTAGTTCGAACAGTAGGTGGGGATGTTTGGCAGCTGTGATTAGTGTTTGGCAAGGGTTAATAATGTTTGTGCACTTAGACCAGAGCGAGGAAGGGGCAGCGCCTGAGTTTCAGACATGGGCAAGTTAGCAGTTCTCTCGCTCGCTGTTATTGCTCTTGCAGTTTTGATCGGAGAAAGGCTCAGTTCATTAAGGTTGGTTGATGTGTCCGATCATTACATAACGATTGCTGCGATTACCGTTGCTTTAAAGCAAACTGTTTAACTATTGCAATAAACGTTTGACTACATGTTGTTCTGATCTTTGTTGCTACTTATTGACATGGGCCTATTCATTTGTAGTTTTACATCATTATTGCACATGACAGTAAGCATTGTCATATATTTTACACCACGTGTCGTTTTACTTTCTCCACAGGCATTTAACACTTTCCTACAGAGAACTAACTCAGAACTACCTTCCTAACTGTCACCTAATTGATGGCATAGGTAAGCAAACACCTTTGGGTTGATCGCCTTCTTTTCTGGTCACGTGTCTTTAGCTGGATTCAATTAACTAATCTGAACCTAATGCCATGTTAGTTATATAAATTATAAACCTTGAGGTTCATGAAAAATAATGTCTTATTGGTACAATGTAATTTTTGTGTGTACAATTGAAGAAGCAAAAGTTTCTGACACTGCGAATGTGGATGTTTTTGTAATCTTTGGTGTTATTTTTATGTTTTATCAGATTTTGGGGCTGAAGATATCACCATACTTGAAGATGGATTGGCTTTTCTGAGCACTGTATGTCATACTCATAACTTAAAAATTATTACTGAGTATTTTGATTAGTTATTCAGATATATATTGTTCCCAATCATTTAATTTAATGTTAGCAACAGTCGTTTTCACTAAAAGCACATGTCTATTGATATGCTCAGCTGCTGAGTTTATTTGACAATTTAAATGCAACAAAATTTTTAAATATGTTCAAATTAATTGCACAAAGGGCTTGAAGTATCCAGGCTTACCATCCTATTCAGACGATCCTGGAAAGATCTATACCCTGAATCTGTTGAATTCTGAACTGAAACTTAAAGCACTGAGCATCAAGGGTCAGTTTGACAAAGACTCTTTTAATCCACATGGAATCAGCGTGTACACAGATGACAAAGGTTTGGCATTTTCATTAAATAAATATATACATAAACAAGAAAAGTTGCATTCCAGGTTGAATTCTGTCTATATTTACATTGATATTGTTTAATTTATAATACCTACACACAGGTGAGGTAGAAATTTTAAAATGTTAAATCGTTATATTAACAAATGTCCTGGTTCTTCCAAGCTTTATAATGGGAGTGAATAAAAACTGGGATTTTGAAGCCCAAAAAAGTGCATCCATCCATCATAAAAGTAATCCATACGGCTCCAGGGGGTAAATATAAGCCTTTTGAAGCGAAGCGATGTGTTTTTGTAAGAAAATATCCAGAATTATAACTTTATAAACTGTAATCATTAGCTTCTGGTAACGTCCGTCTGCACGTTCACGGAGAGTCTAGTTCCGGCGGAAGAGTGACCTCTGACCTGACGTATGATGGAGTAGCGTAAGCTTAGGTGAGGGTAGATGCCTCTTGCGGTTCAAACAAATAGGGCTGGGCAACAAACTCAAGCTCCTCTGACATTTTTCTTTAAAAATTCTCGGTTTAGGCTTCTAGTTCATGACTGGTGTTTTTTTTTGTTTTTATTCTGGTTTTGTTTTTTTGCTCTATCCTCTGTGCTTCCACGTTCGTCAATACATCATGCGTCGGGTCAGAGTTCACTCTTCATCCGAAACTTGACTCTTGTACAGAAGCCAGTGATTCTAGTTTAAAAAGTTATAAATATGAATATTTTTCTTACAAAGACACATTGCTTTGCTTTAGAGGGCCTTTAATAACCCCCTGCAGCCATATTGATTACTTTTATGATGTATGGATGCGCTTTTTTTGGGCATCAAAATCTAAGGCACCATTCACTCCCATTATAGCTTGGAAGAGCCAGGAAGAGCCAGGATATTTTTTAATATAATTCTGATTGTGTTTGGCTGAAAGAAGAAAGTAATATACACCTAGGATGGCTTGAGGGTGAGTAAATTATCGGATAAGTTTTATTTTTGGGTGAACTAACCATAGACATACATAATAAAGGCTAGATGTCTCGTCCGCGCTGCTGGCCAATGGAGGTCGACGTCCATACCTGGCGGCCATCTTGCCACAGTCAGCTCGCTCACTCGTAACATTGTGTTTTAATGGTGCATGTACTTTTTAAATGCTCAATTTTCTACCGATTTTCAAACCGGTTGGTTTGTTATAAACGTCAGAGATGTGGTTATGACAGTGCATACTTATGAAAAATTATAACAATGGACTTCCATATGAAAATAACATTGAACAGAACAGATAGGTGCAATGAATATACACACGCACAAGGTATTTATGTTAAATCAATATATAGGCTACTAAAACTCAGTGTACAGAATGGCAACATGATATATATATATATATATATATACATATACACACACACTTTTAGAATATGAATATTACTATTTTAATAAAATAATTTTGTAAGCACTGTGCTTACTTCAGAGATCACTGTTCCTAATAATACAAGTTACAACCACACTCACAGCTTCTTGTTATTAGCCAGCTAATAACTACAACCACATCCACAAAGATTGTAATTTAGACAAAAGATTAGTTGTCATAAAAATCGTTATTAGTGTCAGTAAAACCTATATAATTGAACAGCTCGATTGTGGTCTCAGCCTTGATAACTTGCGCAAGTAGCTGTGATACACAACTATGCTGCACGATTAAGTTGTTTTTCGAAAAGAAAAGCTGCAATTTCAACATGTTCAAGCATCCAGAATTATAGCCACGTTAATAACGTTTGTAAGAAACCAAACCGTTTGTAAATCCGTCAAGATTTCAGCGAGATAAGAGTATTTGTGTTCGTGCAGATCACTCACCTTAACTCAGGTACCGCCAGAAAGGTTGCCTGTGACAAGATGGCCGCCGGTGATGACGTTAGAGACTCCGCCGTAAGACATCTAGCCTTTATTATGTATATCTATGGAACTAACCCTAAATCTACTGTAAATGGATGAGTTTGATAGAAGTCTAATATTGCATGAATTCTTCTTCTCTCACTACAGATGCTGCCATATATGTGTTTGTTGTTAATCATCCTCAAGGCAAAAGCCAAGTGGAGATTTTCAGATTTGTTGAGAAGGAAAATTCTCTTCAACACATCAAGACCATCAAGCATGAACTTCTGCACAAGTATGTGCTTCTTCAAAACACAGTATTTCTATAACCCCAAATCTAATCAAAGTATAAATTCCCAAATGTATGTGCATTTGTTAGTGTGAATGACATAGTAGCTGTGGGGGCCGAAAGTTTTTATGCCACCAATGATCATTACTTCACTAATGAGATTCTCAAGTTTGTGGAGCCCTTACTCTCTTTGCCCTGGTGTGACGTGGTCTACTACAGCCCTGAGACCGTGCAGGTTGTGGCAGGGGGTTTCCTATCTGCCAACGGCATTAATATCTCACCCAACAAAAGGCAAGTTGCAGAAAAAAGCCATGATTTGCATTCATTAAAGCATTCATAATGTAATATTATCAAAGCGTTTTTTTGTGGAATTATCCCCTCTTTATATGTTATTAATACAAATAACATGTCATTTCAGGCATTTGTATGTGTCAAATATTCTGAAGCACACAATTGTTGTCCTGGAAATAAAGAAAATCACTGTATTATCTCATGTGAAGGTAAACGCCAAACTACATGAAATGTTCACACCTTCTTTTATCCCAAATAGAATATTTATTTTTGTATAGATAGAATTCTGTCTTTATTAGTTGTGTTAGCTTCAAATAAAACTTTTAATTTAAAAAGCCAAGCATTCTTGACTTCTATTGTTAATTTTACTGCATGTTCGTTTTTCTTACCCAGGAAGTTGATGTGGACTCACTCTGTGACAACATTGAGGTGGACCGTGAATCTGGAGATCTGTGGCTGGGCTGCCACCCAAATGGTCTCAAATGTGTATTTCATGATCCGAATGATCCACCTGGTTCTGAGGTGTGTAAATGCTTGAGCCATGGGTTGAGCCTATAGGTTCAAATATGTTGAGCTGTCATGTTCATCTTGAATGGTCTTCCAATCCCTTTCCCCTTTCTCTTCGTACTATTTTCTGTCTTAAAAATATATGTTCTCCTGTAGGTTATCAGGATTGAGAACATCCTCTCTGAAAAGCCCCGGGTGACTCAGGTGTATGCAGATGACGGCAGTGTGATCATCGCTTCTTCAGTGGCAACCCCATATAGAGGAAAGCTGCTCATTGGAACTGTTTATCAAAAAGCTCTGATCTGTGACCTTAAATAGCGAAAATATTCACTTGCAGCAAACAATGAATAAAGATTTGATTTGGGTATAGTGCATGTGTATATATTTTAGAAATTGTCTAAAGTTTTAAAATACATTTTTCTTATTATATAATTATTATACTCCATTTGTGTGGAGTGGAACTTAGATTATAGTTTTGAGTTGGCATATGTTGAGGCTTTTTGACTCAATCTAACAATAAATATTTTAGTAGTATGCTCTAAAAATAAAGGTTCTCTATTGCATCTATGGTTCCATGAATAACCTTTAACATTAACTGAAAATTTACATTCCATAAAAGGTTCTTTAGATTTTTAAAATGTTCTTTAAATTAATTATCTAAAGTTATTTTAAGAAATGTTCATGGAAAGATTCTTTGGGGAACCAAAAATGGTTCTTTGACATTGCTTAAAAAAATCCCTTTTGGAACCTTTATTTTTAAGAGAGTTTATGATGTCAATGAAAACTCAATTATGATTTTCTGAGTGAACAGCGCAATGATCTCTCAGGGTGGATACAATGACATGTTCAAAGTGTTTGGGATGGCACTTCAAAAGTCCAAATTGTCCATCCAAACTTTGGCGGTATGAATGAAACTACAGTGGTAATGCTTAAACTCAAAATGTATTGTAATTCAAACTGTATATTAAAGAACAGGAAGGCAGTGTGGATGTCACATGTTTTGGTAGAGAAATCAATCAATGGCCTTTTTATCTTAAATGCTAAAATCTGTTTTCAAAACACCTGCTGCTATAATAATTCTAGCTTACTGGATGTGTGTGTATATACAGTATATCTTAAATGTAGAAGCCAAATGGGGACCAGTATATATTTTGACATTGGAAATAATCTTTTAACTTTAATGTTCAGTGTCATTTAGTTGACTTGATTACTCTGGAATCATTCTTCAGTCCAATGACTAGCACAATAATGTAACTGTCCTGTGAGTGAGTTGTATGTGGTTATGACTTAATGTAAATGTAGACTTAATTTTATTTTATATGATTGTGAAACAAATCAATTCTCAGTGTTACACTAGACATATACTTACACAAAACGTTGTGAATGATACCCCAATTTGAGTTCATTAAAACTGGCGACAGAAGAAATGTTACTGTGAGTTTTTCTCTTTGCAGAAGTCATGAGAGGCATTTAAAGGAAAAAGAAAACTAAAGCATCACATCATAGTCACAATCTAGAGGAAAATGTATGATCTGAACATGATTCCGTCCATATAAGAGGAAAGAGGGAACAGATAGCAAAAAGGTGAGTACTCCTTCCTTACAGCTGATTTTCAGCTTGAGTAAGGACTTTATTCCAGTCTCAAGTGTGCTGCTGGGTAAAGTCGTAAACAAAGTCGTAAGTGCTGGGCTCTTTGGGAACAGGAGGAGGGACGTCAGGAATCTGAATGTTTTCAAGGTCCAAGAGGCGAAGTTTCAGCTCCATAGTAACCAGAGTGTCCATATCTGATTTTGTGAGCTCACTTGTCATCTCTTTTCCCAAAAGAGCATTCAAGCCATCAGTCCAAATACAGAACTAGTGAATAAAAAAAAGAAAGGAATTTATAAATAGAGTATTGTTAAGGATGATGCATTAATTCAAGCAGCTCATTAATGATCATACAACTTAGGCCTACTTTTAATGGCTTTGATGTCCACATCATGAGGTGATATTGTTATCTTATAAAGAACAAAGGTTCTTTATCTTTCCATGGGAGAAGTATACATTTTATTACTGTTCTGGCTTTGTATATCCTGATACTCACCTCATGCTTGTCTGGAGCAATGAAGTTCAGGTATTCATCAGAGTTATGGAGAATGGAAAAAGCCAGCTCCAGCAGCTCCTGAAAAGCAGAGGAAGAGTCGTGATCTCCAACCCTGCAACGCACCTGACCTCACTTACTGTCCCACAATTCCCACTTGCACTTTACTACCGGTGCTTTTGCAAAACAGATGGCTTCTGTCGCCATTACACCCTCCTCCCAAAGTCACCCAGCTGGAGTGCTGAATTTCCAACAAGGTCAATTTAAAACTAAAGAGATTCAGTTCATAAAATTAGGTTTGAGAGATGAATATCCCTTAGATAGATAGATATTCCTCTCTCAGACCTCATATATGCACTCATAAGCACAATTGGCAAGTTGTAAGGCAATTCTATTCATTGAACGTCAATCCCTCACATCCTCGTTTTTATTCCTGACAAAAAAAAAAAAAAAAAAAAAAAAACTTTGCAGGATTTACGATGCTGATGATGCAAGATTAAAGATGCCCTAGAATGTGAAATTAAATTTATTTTGGCATAGTTAAATAACAAGGTTCAGTACATGGACATGACATACAGTGAGTCTCAAACACCATTGTTTTCTCCTTACTTAAATCTCGTTTTTGAAAAACACCCCTGAAAAATAGGCGAATCTCCACATAACACCGACTGTGACTGTTACTGAGATCTCAGAAGCACGCTCGGTAAGCGGCACCTGCCAATACCCTTTAAGCAAGTCCAACTTAGTTACAAACTTAGCGCTTCCAATGCGATCAATACAATCCTCCATTCTGGGAAGAGGGTAAGAATCTGACTTTGTTAACTGATTAACTCTCCGGTAATCCGTACAAAAACGTGAGGTCCCATCAGGTTTTGGAACTATTAAACAAGGAGAACACCATGGACTAGAGCTTGGCGCAGCCAGACCATTTTCAATGAGATACTGGGTTTCTTGTTTCATTATCTCACGCTTGACAGGATTGACACGATAAGCGTTCTGCTTAACTGGACGATGATCACCAACATCAATGTCATGTTTCAACACATTAGTCACAGTAGGTACATCTGAGAAAAGTGTAGAGTATCTATCAATTAACTGTATCAGATCACTTTGGGACGATCTGGATAAATGTGAAAGTTTAGAACTGAGACTTACAAGAGTTTCCGAATTTTGCAAACGAGCACCAGAAAGGCAAGCACTTCCTAAGTGAAGATCCTCAATAGAAGGAGAGTATTCAGAAGGAACCACATCCACAGAAGTTACAACAGCAGGAGTAGACACTGGAGAATCGGCAGAATCTTTAGAGTTAGGTCGAGAGACATACAGTTTAAGCATGTTTATGTGGCATATGCGAGTCTTTCGCTTTCTTTCAGGAGTTCGTACTACGTAGTCAGTATTACTTAACTTTTCCTCAATCACATACGGCCCCGCAAACTTTGCTTGTAGAGCTGAGCCAGGCAAAGGCAGCAATACAAGAACTTGATCACCAACCTTGAATGAGCGTTGAACAGACTTTTTGTCATATCTGCTTTTCATACGAGACTGGGAGTTTGCTAGTGACTGTTGTGCTAATTGCCACACTGAATGTAAACGTTCACGAAATGAACTCACATGATCTAGCACAGGGGTCACCAACCCTGCTCCTGGAGAGCTACTGTCCTGCAGATTTTAGTTCCAACCCCAATCAAACACACCTGGACCAGCTAATCAAGCTGTTCAGGGTTACTTGATAATTACATGCATGTGTGTTGGAACAGGGTTGGATCTGAAGTCTGCAGGACAGTAGCCCTCCAGGAGCAGGGTTGGTGATCCCTGATTCTAGCACATTCTTACAAGGAGTAACCGACTGACTTTCAGAGAGTAACTGTTCTTGTAACACCTTTAATGGACCTCGCAGACAATGTCCAAAAACTAACTCGGCTGGACTGAATCCAAGTGATTCTTGTACCGTATTGCGAACAGCAAACAACAGAAGAGGAACCTCCTCGTCCCACTCTTTCTTATGCTGGAGACAGTAAGTTCTAATCATGGTCTTAAGAGTCTGATGAAATCTTTCAAGCACGCCTTGAGACTGAGGATGATAGGCACTAGATACGCAATGTTGAATGTTCAGCTCTTTCATTACCTTACGGAATACTCTAGACATGAAATTAGATCCTTGATCAGACTGAATAAACTTAGGTAGACCAAAGGTTGCACAGAATTTTACAATTGCTTTCACAATTGTAGGGGTCTTCAACGAACGTAGTGGAATGGCTTCTGGAAACCTAGTAGCAGAGCACATCAAAGTTAATAAGTACGAGTGACCAGACTTAGTTCTTGGTAAAGGACCAACACAATCAATCACAAGCTTCTCGAATGGTTCATTCATCACTGGGATAGGCTTTAAGGGGGCTGGTGAAATAACCTGATTCGGTTTTCCAGCAATTTGACAATCATGGCAAGAACGACAATACTGGGACACAGTGGACTTCATTCCGGGCCAGAAAAAATGTTTCAAGAGATTAGTATATAGGTTTTCTTGATACCTAGGTGGCCAGAAAGTTCATGATCATGAGCCACACTCAGCACATAGTCTCTGTAAGACTTTGGAAGGACTACCTGAAAAACAGCACTCCAGTCATGCTTCAAGTTCTCAGGACTCCTTTTACGCATGAGCACACCGTCATCTAAAAAATAAGCAACAGCGTGATCGGGTAGTTCGGACTTATCAATCACTGCAGAAATAAGTGAAGTCAAAGTATCATCAGCATTTTGTGCCTCTACTAACTGTTTTCTGTCAAAAGGAAAGTCAAATCTAGATTCAAAACTCAAATTCTCTGAACGAGCATTTACAGAATCCTCAACACCTGGAAAATCTGAACTCATGAAGGAGTTAGAGAGATCAATCTCATTTTCAAACTTACGAGCTTGCGCTCGAGTCACAACACAAGAATGGAATACAGTAGGAAATTCCTGAGTCAACACATCATTTTCTGATGCACAAGGTACATCAGTGACCTCGGGAAGACAAGAAACTTTACTTCCGGCTAAATCATTCCCCAGAATAAGAGAGATTCCTTTCAATGGTAACTGAGTACGTACGGCCACTTTAAAGGTTCTCTAAGCGATCCTGGGTGACGTCACTTCTTGTTGACGTTCGAACTATTGTCAAACAAAACGGAGGCTAGCTAGACCCTCCCTCCTCCTCATCCGCACACTAACCCCCCAAACCACACCCCCAAACCCTTCTTGTCGGTCATTGGCTGGAACAGTTTGTTATGTTTTGGGGAGCGGGTCGCTGCAGTTTGTTTTTGGTGCTGTTTGTGAAGCATGGGCTGTCTACAGAGATCGCGTTTCTTTACAGTGTGTTCAGGGGACAGGCAGCCAGCGGATAGTGAGGAGATGTTTGCTGTATATGACAAAAAATGTTTTGGCCTAAAAAACACATGACATCGCTTAGAGCACCTTTAACTAAACCAGTCACAACGTCAGAACGTAAATATACAGAATGCAAGGGAACTCTGACTACACCAAGTTCCATTCCCTGAACTAAAACATCAGAGTTACAACTAGACTGTGAGGAAAACGGGAGCACATTTGCTAGAATAAATGACTGCGCGGCGCCCGTATCACGCAAGATACGTACTGGTTTGGGTTCGGAGTCCAACTCAGAAAACGACACTGTCCCTTCACATACAAAAGGTTCAAACGAGGGATCAATAGATAACAAAGAATCGGAAGAGTGAGTACGCACAAACGCTACGCTTTTTCTCTGATTTTTCCGCTGCAGCACAAGACAAGCAGCAATCAAATGACCCTTCTCATGGCAATAGAAACATTCCCGCAACATCATTGAAGAATCAGAAGTCTGATCTTTTTGAGCAACCACTTCATTTCTAGAACTGTGACGGCGATCTACAGTAGTGTGATGTGAAGAACGTGGGGGCGGAAAATAAACTTTGTGCGTGAGCACAAACTCATCAGTAAAGACAGCCGCCTCTGACAGTGACAAAATCTTTTGTTCATTCAAATAAACTACAATCTTTTCCGAAATGCAGTTTTTGAATTCTTCCATTAAAATTAGCTCTTTCAATTGCTCAAAAGTTGTAACTTTACAGGCAGTACACCATTTTTCAAAAAGTGTGTTTTTCTCACGTGCAAATTCAACAAATGTTTGACTGGGGGTTTTCACATGTTTTCTAAACTTCTGTCGATAAGCCTCCGGAACTAATTCATACGCTCTTAACACGGCCGATTTAACAGCGCCATAGTCTAAACTTTGCTCAAGCGTCAATGCGGAACATACTTCTTGCGCTTTACCAACAAGTTTGCATTGTAACAATAAAGGCCAAATATTTCTAGGCCACTTTAATGTGGCAGCGATGCGCTCGAAAACAGCAGACAGCTCCTCTCCTCTCCCTACAGCGTTGCATGCGTCGCCGGTAAGTCATGAATTTGATGTTAGTAGGCAAATTTCACTAGTTCCTATATTTAGAGAGAGTGAAGTTGACACCTATTTCACTCTCTCTAAATATAGGAACTAGTGAAATTTGCCTACTAACATCAAATTCATGACTTACCGGCGACGCATGCAACGCTGTAGGGAGAGGAGAGGAGCTGTCTGCTGGGCTTAGCAAAGGGGTATTTCCCCGCAACCCAGAAGGTGGATGCCGGGCCTGCTCGAGTTTTAGGTCAAGCTCCAGCTCTTTCAACCGGATGTCTCGTTTTGTCTCAAGCTCAACAGCTCGGACATGTAACAACTGACTTTTGTATTGTTGTCGGCTTAATTCCACTTCCAGTTCTTTCAACCGGATCGCCAACAATTGATCTTTCGGTGCAGGAGGACTACCAGGATCCATGCGAGCCCCATCATCAAATTTGAATTCCGCCTCGACAGTATCCAAATCCTCAGACAGTGCTGAAGATGCAACACCCGTAACCTCACTTTCAACACCAGGCAAGATCTTTTGCTTTACAAGCTCCATATGCAGTACCTCCTTAATCTCTCTCTTAAGCGCATTTCTCGGTACAACTATATCAAAGAAATCAGCGATTAACAAAAAATCGTCTTTGCAACATTTTTCAAATGTCTCCTCTGTAGGAGCGATCGTGAATTTATCGAGCTCAAATTTTGATGCCATGCCAATCTCTATATTTCCTCCCACACAAAAAGAAAATCCCCAGGCAAACACTAGCAAAACAAATTCGGCTAATAGAACATATCTAGCCAAGGGACGAGCCCCCAATTTCATGTTACACCCCGTCTAGGGGAAAAGGGGTAACATGAAAGAGTCAACGAAAAGCGAGGAATTGGAACAAAAGTTATTTATTTTTCTTAATTTGGGACTTACGATTCAGGAGCTGACAAAGCCAAAATAACAAACAAAACAACCTTAAATTTAAACCTCTTTCCTAAACCCTAACCCAAAAGAAAAGAAAATGAAGATACAATCAATAAACCTATCTCCCTAACCAAAACCAGAGATTAAACCGTTTACAATAAAGAAAATAATGGCGTCGAGCTCCCTACTTTCCCAAAAATCAATCAGTATTTACAATATATACAGCCAGGCAAACAAACTGAAAAGGGCAGTCCAAATCAGTGTCGGTAAACAGGCAAAGGGTCAAATATACCAATGAGGATATTCAGATACAAACAGCTTTCAAAACAAATAAACAAACAGTACTCACAGTCTCAAAAACTCTTAACATTCAAATCACAAACTCTCTCTCTGCTCAAAACACAATATCTCCCGACTTCCTGTAAAGGAAGTGATGTCTCTTTTTAACACAAGCTGCACCAATCAGGATCGAGCAGCAATCATCGTGCAGGAACCAATCAGATGGGCGTTCCAATCATCCTGCAGGAACCAATCAGACGACGTTCCTAAACAGACATACTGAGAGACTGACAAAACAACAGAGATAGCAAAATACAAACCATAGGGTCGTAACAGTGACGCAACAGTTGGGATCATTAATATGTACGACTCCAAAAATTTGCATATGCCAGCCCATGTTCAATGACAGGCGGAACTGCGCAGCAGAAGTATATCAGTTGATCAGTGTTTGGATGTACACATGAACATAGTTCCTTCATCCGAGCCTCTGAAGAAACAATGGGCTAATTTTATTTTCTCTGGAAATTTCCAAACATTTTGACGACTGTTTCCTCAATTTGGTCCAATACAGAGATGGCCTCGAATCGAGCTACCAAAGCAACACTTTCTTATGTGTAATTGTTCAAGTTCAGCCAGGTAATCTTTCTCTCAAAATCGTTCAATACTGTTTATGCATCAGTAAGTCAAGCCAGTGACTAAAATGTCAACTTCACATCTTTCTTTTAGTAGGATGAAAAAAAAACTTATTTAAATTGTGAATAAATTATATACAGAAAGCGACCAAAGAACAATCTTTCCACACAGCGCGAGTTTATCTGGACAACTCGTTATGAAATCAATGACGCACGTTACACTGCACAACGAAGCTCTTACTGTAACAGTTACACCATCGTGTTTGCATTGGTGAAAACATTAGAGAGAGTGCAGAAATTGCATTACAATTATAAGATCTTCATTCTCGCGATCAACAGACTGTGATCTGCTAAATGCTCATCACGGCAACATTTTATGTGATGGGAATAGATCTAAATACTTTAAAAACATCTCACGATTCGTTAATCTCGATAGCTGTAATAGTAAAAACGTATAATAGCTGTAGTAAAATTATTCGAGAGAGTTTCACATGTAATACATAGCTATTTCATATGCAAGGATGTCAGCCAATCACAGCAGTGGCCGGTTACACTGAATCCCACAGCAGACACGCCCCCGCCCCTTCAAACAGAGCGTTCAAATCAGAGGCTAAAATCAGGCTAGGAAAAATGCCTTTTATTTCTAAATTATGACTTTTTGATCTAAAAAACATACTAACATTATAAGGGCAACCCAGGAAACATTATAAAATAATAATAAAAAACATTCTAAGGCACCTTTAAAACTTGTTACACAGTGTGTGAAAAGGGTCATCTAACCACTAGATGGCGTCATTTGGACTTCATTGGCATTACTAGATTAATTGCTAATTGTATTCAGCAGTTGACGTGTCTGTTTGTGTTCCACTGTTGTCTTTCCTTGGGGTTGTTTTTACTAGTTATTATTTAAGTTAAGGACTTCATGTATTTTGCCTCTGCAAGCTTCTGCCTGTAAAATCAGCCTGTCTTGTTTGTCTGCTCTGAGTTTGGATCCACAACACCTAGCTGTCTGGTGAGTACCAACTTGTCAAGTTTCTTATTACAATAACTAATACTTCTTACCTTATTCTTAAGTGCTCCTTTCTCCCTCACGTGTGGGCAGTCTTTACCTGTTACCACAGCTTTGATATCTGCTACTGTCACTGAATGTAGAGAAGATGGAATGTTATGGAGAGTTGACCAATTCAAAATTTTGTAGAAATTATATTCAACCAAATTCATTAAAAACATTTAGCTCTAGTCTGCTTCAAGCTTGTGGATCAATATGGTATTAACAATCAATGTGATAAATATAAGCCATTATATTTCAAAAGACTGCAGTTTTCATTTACAGCTTTGTCATTTATAATCAAAAAGTGTTTCTCACCTTTCTCCTGGAGAGAGTCGTGTGATATTTGTCCTTGTGAGAACTCCTCTACGTCTCCATAGTGCAACACTTTGTGGTTTGGTGATAGACGGCAATACCAGAACTTGTCTAGGGGAGATGTATTTATATAAAAATATGCATGTTATACCGTGCAAGTCATTGTTTGGCTGTTTTCTTCTCTCTTGCACAAATATCTTGCTTTGTATTGTCCTTATAATGATCCATTCTAATCAGATTTGATAGTTTTTCCACTAGTAGGACAACACTGTAAATGAAAATCACTTTTGATTAAAAGCATAATTTAAGCTCGACCTAACTGCTAAAGTCAATCAAGTTGATAAATATGATTTTAAATAAAGAGGGCATAATAATAATGGTATAGAGAATTTTTTTGTATAGATACAATGGAGTATTTGCATATAGGCTGTTTTATGCCCCAAATGCAGAATGAGATTATACATTTAATATATTCATATCCTTGTTTAATATAATGCAACATCAAACAAACCAAGCATTAGGGTAAGGTGGTCGAGGGAACCTAAGCCTGTGATGCCCTATATTTGAGTAGATTATTAAAAATGTGTGTAATCTTTATAGACATTAAGCTATAGGAAAAGCTTGAATACAGTGTCTCGCTTCAACTTAATATCCAATCTGATTGTCAATCAATCCGGTGTACAATATGATGTTTTTTTTGTTTGTTAGTGTCATTGCATCTATAAGACTGCAATCAAATCCATCAAATGGCTTTTCTGAATTTGGAACTGAATCCATGAATTGAATCACATGTAATTGTAATCTGATTTGTGGATGAGTAACTGACCTTGTCTGCGACGAGCACTGATCTTCCTAAAGCAGGTCCCCTCACACAGGCGGTTCAACCTCTGCCGTTTGATCAGCTCGGTCACCTCTGGCTGGAGTTTCTCTCGTAGTTCTCTAAACGCACACAGACATGTTACCTCGAAGCAGCAACAAACCAGTGGCTCGTCGTACCATTGTTAAGGGCTAGTTAAGAAAGTTGACACACAGATATAGGGCTGCATGATTTGAGAAAAAATAAATAATTGAATTCCCCCGCAAATTAATAATGAATTAAATATGAATCGTCTGACAGGACATTCAGAATTAGCAGTGAATTGCTTCATTTATATACTATAAGAAGATGCACTTACAGCATTGGGCGTGATTTGGGGTCCTCCTGGCTCAACATCTCTGATTTCAGCAAGGGTCTGTGTGGCCTGCCACTGCCCACCGTGTTAAATCGCAATGTGACACTTTGGGTGGCGTACCATTTCTGTTTTTTCTCCACCTACAGAAATAGAGACAGTCGTTCAAATGCAACGCATCTTTTGCTTTGTTCATATGACGTGATTTCCTTTTGCTTGATGGCCTGGAGGCTTCACCAGCTGTCATTGTAGTTCGCTGTTGAAAAGCGTTTTGTGTCTTAACAGTGATTTGCTGATGGCTATACTGCAGTTTTAGTCTGAGTCTTTATCTGTGTGGCTTAATGGAGTTTTTCTTTGTCTCAGACCTCGCATCCCTTTGTGTGGCCATTGGGTACATGCCTGGCACAGTGCTGAGGTCTGGCAGGGGGAACTGAGGAGCTCAATGGGATTAAGGCCCTGTCAGTCTAATCTCTAACAGTGCTGTGACAGTCAGAGCCTGGGGAGAAACATGCTGACACAGTGCACTAAAGTGAGTAGGCCAGCTGATGTCTGGACACATCGGTTATGGTTCGTTTCGGTTGCCATGTGTTTTGTCTTTTTGGACAGGCAGCATCTATTTAAATTGTCACAATTTCTACTCTGCCCTTTTATGAATTTACTTAATCTCATAAACAATGACATTTTCATTGCAGATTTTAACTGACACTTTTTTTTTAAATAGTGTATAAGACTTTTTTCTTTTTAATTGCAATTGACACACTTAAGTGTGTACTTAAGCATTTTGATGATTCTGGAAATGTATTTTAGTGACTCAATGAAAACTTAAATCCCTAAATAACAGTTTATTCTGTTATTTCTGTAGACCTTCTGTAGACTGTAGACCATTAGCTATATGACCGTGAACTTAGATTTGGGTTACAGGAGGGAAATATCCTCCATGGGGGATAATAAAAACAAGACCAAATAGACTAAAAAGTGTGTATAAGAGAGCATTAAAGTTTTTATAGCTGTTGTTATTAAGAATAAAAAAAATACTTTGCTGCATAAAACGATAGAGTAAATTAAATGAATTGCCCAAATTGCATGTGTAAAAATTCCATACTGAGAGTATATTGAGATTTTTTTTTTTATTACATCTATTTTCTTTAATAAATTTGTTTTATAGAGTATTATTATAAATAAATAAATAGATAATTTTATTCCTTTTGAGTACTACTTAATCGGTCAATATTTGGCAACACATGCAGGATCAGGATCCTGTAATTCATGTTTCTATTGGAAGATCATAAGGATAGAGGAAGGCAAATATATGCAATTATTAATTGTAGCCATGTATTAAAATTTTATACAATACAATATTCTGACTACTTTTTCACCATGCTTCCGGTACCTTTCATTACTTAGCCTGTCTAGATAAACTGTTGATTCCTCCAGATAGTAAACATTTGTATAGCAGCACTATCAATCACCCAGTATAAATGAAATGAGAATTAAGCCTCTAATATCAAGCAATAAGCAATAACGCATCCCCCCCCTCCCCACAGTGACAAACAAAGCAAAAGGGTATTGAAGTGATGAATTAGATCCCTTGATCGAAAATAGGGAGTCAAACATGAATAATAACTATATAATTTTGTGGTTTTGTATAGTAAAGCTCTGACATTCCCCTGTAAATCATTACAAAAAACATGAATTCATTGCAATATTTCAAAATAAATATTTAAAATGGATCTGCCAGCTGACTCTGTTCTAATGTATTCTATATGATCATGCAATGTTTACAGTAACAAAACAATAACAAAGCATCACCCAGTCATTCAGTTCTTCCACTATTATGATTCTCAGGTTACTCTGTGAGTAAAGTCAGTTAAGGTTAAGTATGGTCATTTAAAGGCTTGCTGTACTTACATGTCACAGCCATGTCCATGTGTCAGTGCAGAAATTTCAATGTTTGTATTAAAGGAATAAACCATAAACACTGTTATCTGGTCACAGTGGCAATGGGGCGAGAGAAGTGATGCAGGCGACAGCAGATGGTCCCACAGAAAGAATAGATTCTGTCTGCGTGCAGGTACGAGAAAGGGGGGCAAAAAAAAAAAAAAAAAATAGTAGAACCCAATCTAGTATTTCCCTTTGACTCCTCACTGAAAGAAAGACTCAGTTCTGAACCCTTAGAATGCTGCTTTGCTTGTTTATATGAGTGATCTGCACCGATTGGGCAGATGCCTTTGTGGTGCCAGCCAATGAACAGCTGGCTTTGGTCACATGGGTAGATCACAGAGGGAGAGCATGAGCAAATTGGATGGGGGATGGGGGGAGGACAGGACCAAAAGATAATGATTTAAGAGATCTTCTGTCTTGCTAAATCACATTGAACTTGCTGATGTTTTTCAGGAGCACTGTGAGAATGCAAATGGCCCTGAAAAGAGTCTGACATTTACTGTGAAAGGGAAAAGGTCTGAGAAAGTGTGGAAACGTGGAGATCCTAGCATCGTTCTCCATCAAAGCAAAAACCAGGGGTGTAGTCATTAGAATTCTGTTGTCATGGAAACCGGTTCAGTGTGGCCTGTCAGGCTGGTACCGGGACTCTGCTTACCCCAGTCTTACACAATAAGAGCCTTGCAGCCTCTTCCTTTTTACTTGCTCTTTCACTCTCATCCTTTGGTTTGTAAAATGTATGTACTGCACCATTGGCCACATCGGATAGGAGAGATGTACTTTCATCCCATGAATCAAAGCATGTTGGTACGGGGACAGGCTAGACTAGAATTATAGATGTTTTTGGTTATGATAGAGGTCAGTCATCATCAGGCAAGGGATGAGCCATAGTGTTCAGTGTTGAATTCATCTGTGTATTATAATGCTGTCTGGTTTACCTTTAAAGTGGTTGATTGAAATATTACAGGTGATAATACCAGAGACTTTCTGGCAGGTCAACCAAAAAATTTAATTGTCATGTACTCACCCTCATGTTGTTCTATGGCCTTATGAATTTTTCTTTCTTCTGTGGAATACAACATGAGATGTTAAGTAGTATATTCACAACTTTTTTCCCCCAACACAATGAAAACATACAGTGATCAAGAAAATGCCAAAAAGCCCTCTTAAACCATGCAAACCGCATGTTATTTTCTAAATGGTTTCTGAAAGGGTTGGTTCACCCCAAAATTCTGTCATTTATTAGTGTTTAATTGAGTAATTAATGACTTGGCACTTGGGTTATAAAGCCCTTTGTTATTTTTAGGGCTTGGTAATTTTAGAAGAGACCATCAATTGATTGTACTGACCGCAGTTGACGTGACTGTTCCCCTTGAGCAGGGAATAATTCCTCTGTGTGCTGAAAGCGGCAATTATTAAACTGAAAAAGGAAATGGTGGACAATGTAAGTTCTTTTTAAAGTGTAAAAAGGGAATTTTTTGTTGTTTTTTGTGTGTTTTTGAGTTTTTGTGCTATACTACAAGGAGCATAAAGGGCTAAATTCTCACATGACCAAATATATACACACCATTCAAAAGTTTGGGGTCGGTAAGATTTTTGTTTTTGAAAAGTATCATGCTCCTTAAGGCTGCATTTATTTGATTAAAAAAAATACTATTGTGAAATATTATTCAGTTTAAGTAACTGTTTTGTATTTTAATATATTTTAAAATGTAAGTTATTCCTGTGATTGAAAAGCTGAATTGTCTGCATCATTATCCATTAATCATTACTCATTAATCTTCAGTGTCACATGATCCTTCAGAAAGCAGCATTTATTTGAAATGTAAATCTTTTCTAACATTAAACGTCTTGTCACTTTTGATCAATTTAATGCATTCTTGCTGAATAAAAGTCATTTCTTAAAAAAAAAAAACATCCTGATCACTTTTACGCCTTAGTCACCCTTTAGCGTCAGTTACATGACGCGATCCTAGGGCGTCATCTTACTGACGCTTTACCTTTAACGTCAGTTAGATGACGCTATCTAATCGTAACCCTACCCCAGACCTACCCTTAGGTAAAGCGTCAGTAAGATGACGCCCTAGGATCGCGTCATGTAACTGACGCTAAAGGGTGCCTAAAGCGTCGAATATTGAAGCATGGTCAAAATTGTCATTTTAGTGACGCCTTGGGGTGAGAATGCGTTGCGTTTACATACATTTTAAATAGGTTTTAAAAATCTATGTCTAGCAAGAGGAAGCATCACATAAAACTTCAGTCTTAATGATGGAATGCTAAATGAAATGCTTCTTGCAGTCCAAGAAGAAAACAAAACTCACCAATTTGCAGTGTGTTATATTGATGTGTCTTCCATGGTGTCAGACGTTTCTTTGCAGCAGCATCATGTTTAATGTCCAGAATCCTCCTGAGCAACTGTTTTGCCTTCCTTTGCTTCAAACAATGTCATAGCAGTGCAACACAGGTGGTAGATTCAGTTCCTCAAGGCCACAATATTGTGTTCATGAGAACTTCTCCATATAGATACCTATAATAAACTTGTCAATAAGGTTTTGGAATGGGGGCCACAAATTACCATAGAGGTTTTGAGATGCACCTAACCTAACATCAGAGCACACAAAACCAGTGTTTTAAACATTCAAGATGCCCTTATGATGATAGTATGCACAAAATTAAAAATATTATTCATAACCCCTAACCCTGAAGCAGTTCCAGTGCTGCTGTATGTACCAGTACCATAAAAAGGCTTCCAACATGCCTGACCAGACTAATCTTAAATGCGTTCTGAAAGATGTCACCTCTAATTTGATTAATGTAGGATGCAGAAACACCATTGCTACAGCATTAATCAACTCGCCCTCCTAATGAGTTAGTCTCAAGGCTCATAATAGGAACAATGCTGAGGATTTATGTAAGGTGGGTTATGTAAGAATGCTGACATCTGCCAAACGGCACAGCTGACCACCTCCATCTCACATCTGTAAATTCCTCTAATTATCCTTCAGATTATAAAAACCTCACTCACACACACACACAAGTTTTGTTTGCTTCATTAACCCTGAAAACTGTACGCAGTCGCAGTGCTTTTGATATCAAAACAATCAATTCAAAAGTATGTAACTGTAACCAAATCACCTGATCTGTATGGATTAATTTTATTTATTTATTTCAGAATGAGGGAGATTTTACACATCTGCTGCGAGGTTCCGTCTTGTCATATAAAGTGTTGATGGGATTGGTTCATGCTGGTTTCAGAGGTCAGTGAAATATTCATTCTGTTCTTTGGCTTCTCTGCTGCGGTCTCGTGTCACTTTAAGGTATTGTGGATTTGTTCAATAATTCAGACATTTTGCAAGGATGCAGGCACATATTTTCCCAGTTAGAGGCTCTAAGAATACTCTACGGATTTGAGTGTTACACCATCTAGAGCCCTAAAAAAAAGCGTGTTTAGTGTTTACCACAAATTACTGTACTTATGAAAAAAAAAACGTCAGCAAATGTCATGTGGAATGCATCTCAAATGACCAATTTTATAATTGGTTTCAGTTTTTGGGTCACTTTTTTCAGAACTCTTTACACAGTTCTCCTTTCCAACTTTCAGCTTGGCACAGCAGTTAATTTCACATTCAAAATGCACTAAAAACTTCTCAAACGTCTCAAATCAACTCATTCCTCCATAACAATAGCAAAGGTTGTCACCCAACAAACACACTTTGTCACTCATCAAACAATGACCTAAAAACACTAACAAAGGGTAGCATTACACAATTTATTTAGTAAAAAATGTCTTTACAAATCAAACATTTGTAAACAATTTCTTCACTACAGTTTCATGTTTACATTACAGTATTATTCCTATTTCCTTTTGTCTAGATGATGATAATGAAATTGAAAGACTAACACCTGTGTAGATTTTCAGCTACATGTAATCGTTTGGCAGTATTTAGGTTTTTTTTTTTTTTTTTTTTTAGATTCTCAGTATATTTCAATATGGTATTACTGTAGAAATGTAGCAAATTGCTGTCTGATTCAGTTTTTATGTTAGGTTTTGAACTTAGGTTTAACAGTTTTAAGTATGTAAAATCTGTAAATTGGCCTGTAGGTAGTTTTGTTGGTGGTTGTGTCTGAGTGAGAAAAGAATTCATGTATTTTGAAAGTAGTCTTCATGCATTTTGTGCCAAACAATGATCAATGATCCACAGTTTAGCTCACAGACTGCTGTTGTGCTCACTGTACGAAGAGTTTTGAAAAAGTGACCCCAGTATTGAGAAATGTGTCCAAGCAATTGTAATAAATAAATAAATTGACCAATATAACGATTTTAATTGAATAATGTTACAGTGTTTCAATGATCACATGGTGTTGGTCTATATAAAATAAAGTAGTTAAGATTTATATTTGCTGTAAATGTTACACATTTTTGACTGTGTGTGTACAGGGAAGAATGTTCTTAATGTTAAATGAGTGAACTAACATGCCTTTGTGTGGGCTTGAGGATGAAGTGGGTGGGGGTGTTTTTTATTGTTGATATTCATGGGTTCTTCAGTGGCAAAACATTGTTTTCATGTGGGAAATGTCCATGGCTTTTTTTGTTCACAGTATATGTAAATACAGATTTATCACTGTCTGCAGTGATATGGAAAATGGAAAAGGTTTTTAGGGAATTTATCCATGAAGCGGTAATGCATCTGCTCTGCATCTCAGAGTTGGGTTACATAAGTGCTTACTTCTGGTCACTGCTCGTATGTATCCCAGTCCCTCTGCTGCTTTTGCTTAAACTGAAGCATTACATCAGTCTGCACTCCATCAGTCTTCTTGCTGCAGGACAGAGAGTGACTGGAGTAGAATTTATATCTCATAATAAACAGATCATTGTATGATGTCTGCTTCTCATTTCAGTTTTCAATTTAACCATTATAGTGTCTGTTGAAATCTGAGTAGTTTGTTGTATGTCCTCCGTCCCTTTGTGATAGTTTTGTAAATGGCAATAAATTTGCTATTATTTTGCCCTCAATCTCACTCCAGTGGACCTTGTTATTGGGAAGAGATAGAAAGTCATTCCCTGCAGCCTCACCTGTGACACATGATCAAACACATGCACACTTAAACAAGGCTGCTATAACAATGACCCAGCATCTGACAAGGTTACACCTGCTCGTTTCACAATCTGACGTCACAGCCTATTTCTGGAGGGAGAGGCTGTCGACACTGACCTCCTGCATTCTGGAAACAAAACTGATGTGTGGAACTTGTTTCAAAGCTCCTATATTACGTGTATTCAC